TACCTTCGTTTGTAAATGATCGGATGTTGGATCGATAATATGCCGCACGACCACCCAGCACGTCCTTCTCGAAATCTTCGCCCGCTTTTGCTAGTTCCTCCCCCATCTGCCAGTTTCTTGTTATCTCCTTCAAAGAGACCTTGTCAATTTATTTTCAAATTTTCAGGTTCGCTAGCGGTGTCGATCCGTCAGCATCAGCGTTCATGAGTAGTCAACGTATGATGAGCATGCGAGGAGCGCCGATGAGTGCTGCTGGACCGATGATGGAACCAATGGCGCCCACAGGGCGGCTACCCTTCTGGATATTCTCAAGGGATGCAGCCATTCCCACCTCAACAACAATATGTGGGACAGTTCTCTATGAACTGACAGAAAGATAGGTTTTTTGTAGCGTGGCTTCCGTGGCTTCTGAGCCACTTTGATTTCAACGGTTTTCAAGGCATGGATAAATTCTAGATGTTGACCAACCCAACCACGTAGCCATATTTCCAGCTTTTCTACGACGACTTTCTCCCATTTTCCATAACCAATAATCATTTTTTCAACTTTTCGAAACAATTAAGTTCGTCAAAAAATTTCTAAAAGGGACGTGGTCGAGGAGACGGCTGCTATAGAAATTGTTTTGTAGATTCTATCTGTGAAAAGATCACTAAAAACGGATGTCGTCGAATGAAGTTATGAAGTGGCGAAATTTTCAGGGAGCTCACTAATAAGTGGGCGGAGTCTCCGGGGCGGAGTCAAGTATGCAATTGAATAAAAGTGTATTCAAGGGTCTATGAGTGTAATAGATGAAAAGCGTGAAAAACTAGTATAGATGCAATATATAGTGTATAATGTGCCTAGTGTGAGTGTGGATTGTGTTGCGGCAAAAAGGGGCGGAGTTATCTTGGGGCGGGGCATGAAATGGGGTCTTTTTGTCATGTGTCGAAAAGTGTATAAAGTGTTTCATCTACAGAGCAGAGGAGGGTAGAGAAGGAGGAAAGTTTTAGTCAGCTGATGGATGGTCGCTTCAAGCATTGCTAATGTCGCAATTCTACTACAGTCGACAGCTGGCCAAAACTGTCCTCCTTCTCTACCCTCCTCTGCTCTGTAGATGAAAGAGAGACGTTTTTTTCCTTGAGAATCTTCCTCATTCGGATCTGTGGTTATCACTCACCTCCCCCTCCTTCTCCCTCACATTCA